ATCGCCCCAAAAGATGAGACGGTCTCAACTCCTGGTCCTTGTAGATGCGATCTTTTGGAATAAGGTCTTCACTAGGCAATCTTCACTGCCAGCGCGACTGGATTAGGAGAAGCCTGCAGAAGCAGTTGGATCCTGCGGCAGTGCATTCGCTAAGGCTCTCGTGTGCACAGCTGAATGTGCTGTTAGGTCACTGGGCCCAGCTGGAGGAGCTGTGAGTGAGCCTTTGGAAGGCACATCTTTCCATGTGCTCTTCCCTGTGCTGGGCTTCCCAGCCACTATGCAGTGAGTAGCTTTGCTCCACCATGCCCTTTCACCTGCATGTGCTTGGCTTGGAGCCAGCCCACCACACACTGAAATCTCTGAGACAATAAACCATTTCCCCGTTCAAGTGGTCTACATCAGACATCCTGTTCCAGCAACGGGAAGGCTGGCCGCTAGGAGATCTTTGCACATGTAGCAAGCTGAGGTGAGGATGATGGAGTGGGGCCCTAATCCAGTTGGGTGGATGTCCTTAGGAAAAGGAGAGAAGGATGGGCACAGCAGGAGGCTGGTCACATGAAGATGAAGGCTCAGATTGGAGCTAGACTACCATGAGCCAAAAAAGCCCAGCACTACTAGAAACTGGAAGAACAAGAGGGAATCTCCCCTACAAGCTTTAAAGGGAGTATGGCCTTGCCAATACCTCAAATTCAGACTCTGGGCCTCTAGAACTGTGAAAGAATAGATTCTGACTACTGTGAGACAATCAGTTTGTGCTACTTTGTCATAGTAGCCCAGGAAACTAACGCAGGTGACACAACTTAATTTTAAAGGACACTGGTTACAAATACAAATGTATGAGAAAAGGGAATATGAATGGCTTGATTGTTGTAATCATTTTACAATGTGTGTATGTATAAACACATCATATTACATACACACATGTTGAATACACAGTTTGCACTTGTCATGTATAATGCAGTAGAGAAAATATTTAATAAGTAAATAAAAAGGGACATCAATAAGAATCTCAAGACATGGATTTGGTGTACGGGATAAAATATACTATACATTATATTTGTATATTACTTTGGACTTTGGGCCTCCACAAAAGGACAGTGCTTGGGAGGCTGTGGTAAGAAGATCACAAGTTAGACGCTAATAAGGGCTTTGTAGGGAGTTTAAGCCCAATGTGTACTATATATCGAGACCCTGTCTAAATAAACCTGGGGACCATAAAAGGAAATTTTCTTGGACTCTGAAAGATTAGGATACATCCCCTCCATGTATCCCACAGTATCCTGTCCTAAGATTATAGTGTAACAAAATACATTTTCATAAGTAATTATGGGACAGAAATACACTTAAATTGAATACAGTACTTCAAAGAATCTGCATAGAGAATTTATAGGCCACATTTATTTAATAATAAAATCTAGTTGTTTAACAAAAGACTTTAAGAACAGCTTAATTTTCAAAAGTAAAGAACCAAAGTATTAAATAAATCATTTTATGGCACAAGACACCATAAACTTATCTATGCAAACAGCAAGTAGATTTTTGTGTTAGAAGAATGGAAAAAAATTAAACCAAGCCAAAAATTCAAGGACTGGAAGTTTAGAAATAGCCAGTCAACTGAGGCCTTTGCATACCAGATTTGATTTTATAAAAACATTCCAAACATAGTATATTTATTCCTTAGCAATACTTCTTCCCTTTGATAATGGAAAATCTTGCCTTTTTTTCATCAGCCTTGTGAAAAATACCTGTGAATTTCTTTTCTTCTTTTTTTTTTTTTTTTTTTGCAGAGCCGGGGATTGAACTCAGGCCCTTGCACTTGCCAGGCAAGAGCTTATTTAACAGAGCTAGCTCCCCAGCCCCACCTGTGCATTTCTTACAGCACTGTTGTCACCCTTCAGATGCTGATTCTGCCACACTTTATTGTCACTTCTTCAAATCTCAACGCACCTAGGACCCCTAGCAGTGAAGACTGAAACATGCTAAGATAAATACTGGTCTCAGACTTTATTCATGAATAAACTGGGAGTTATTTATTGACCATCTTATATCTCCAGCTCTAAAAGGAACTGGACAGACAAAACCCCAGCTCTGGACAGTGACCCACTTATAATTTAGCAGGCCAGGCAGTGATTCTGAGTCACTATGACCCTTCAACTCGGCGTTCAAGCTGTGTACAGATACCTAGCTCCTCTTTACACAGAAATAAAATACGCTGTTATGGACACATATTTTCAACACTCATACTGGGCATTTTTAAGTTTGTATGTGGACAAGAAATGTCCTTAGCTTTCTTTCTTTTTTTTTTTTTCTTAGCTTTCAAAGACTGTCAAGTATTTTGTTTTCCATTTCATTTTTTCTAACATACTCTCCACAGTTCTGTCTAACCCACTGGCATCACAGTTCTGTCTAACCCACTGGCATTTTCTTTCTTTTCTTTTTTTTTTCTGTCTTTAGGACAGGGTCTACAGGGTTACAGGGTTTCACTGTGGAGATGAGACTCGTAGTGATCCTCCTGCTTTCAGTCTTCCAAGTGCTGGGATTACAGGTGTGCGCCACCACGCCCAGTCTCAATCACCATCTCAGTGTGCCCCGGGGGCGAGGCCAGCACGGCACACTGGGGATGGAACCCTGGCCACTGCACTCTGTCTCAGCAGGTGCTTTAGTCCACTGAGCTATCAGGCTGGCCCCCACTGGCATTTTCTGTACCAATCTGTGGCAGTTTCCTATTGCTTATGACTGTTGTCCTTGCCACTCATTCCTCTTGCCCCAGCCTGGTCACCGGGCTTGCCTATCTTTGCTTGTGAAGCACGTGGGTGATTAATGTTAGCACTTCCTCCAAAGTTAGGTCTTCAATAAATATACCTCATCAGGGTTTCTGACCAGTGCTTCCTCAAACTTCACGTTGACCTTCAGATATTCCCTGTAACAATATTCTTTCAGAATGATCCTCAGAAATAATATCTTCAAAAAGAGTCATTTCTTTTTCTTTTTTAGAAATTTTATTTATTTATTTATGGGGGGGGGCCCAGCTCAGCCCACCTGGGGGCAGGGCTGGCTGGCATGTGGTGCTGGGGGATTGAACCGTGGTCCCCGATGCTTTGCTAAGCTTGTTCTAAGTAGGTGCTTTAGACCACTGAGCCATCTCACCAGCCCAAAAAGAGTCATTTCTTGAGGGTTTTTTGTCTTTTAAAATGTTGTATTAAGAAACTGATAGAGACACCTAACTCTAAAGACATGCATAGCTCAGCAAAAGCGGCTTCAGGGCGAGCCAGCCAGCTCAGCTGAATAAAGCGCCTGCTTAAGCAGATGCAGAGACCGGTGGTTCCGACGCCCCCCCCCCCCCCCCAGTCAAAGCCGGAAGTTGGGCGTCCAGGCCCCCCCCCCCCGCTGGCCCCGCCCCTGGGGCGTGCTGAGACTGGGTGTGGAGGCGCATGCCTGTAATTCCAGTGCTTGGGAGGCTGAAAACAGGAGAATCACTGAGTCTGATCTGTGTAGTGAGACTCTATAGACCCTGTAGACTGAACTAAATACAGAAAAATAAAAAGCTTGCTTCGCCTGTGTTGTCCCCTCCCACCGTGGCGAATAACACTGTTAAGAACTTTAGTATGTGACATTAGTTTATGCACATAATGGTTAAATCAAGAAATTGAATTTTTGGTTCTTTTATATTTAATTAAAATTTACATGACTCATTATGTTTGAAGAATTAAGCTATACATGACAAAAAGTTAAATATTCATTGGTATGTCTACTATATTTATCACAAAATGCATATTCAAGAATCTCTGAGTCTATCAGATACTATCAAGCAAAATGCCATCTATGATCATCATCAATTTTTCTACATTTTTAACTCAAGTACAATTGTGTAATATTTAGGAAATTTCAATTTTTCAATTGTACTCACACAAAAATTATCAGAATTATTTTTTAAGTAAAAAAATAGCTGCATAACTCATTTGCCACAAATGAACTCCCTACATGTGCAGCAGCAGCAGCCACAGTATGGCCTTCTGTGGCTGCGGCCCTGTTCATGCATACACACTTCCTCTTCACGTGAAGAAAATGAACAGGAAGGGACAAAAGCGTCACCTCGCATTGTTTTATTGACTCTTGATGTTTTCATTGTACGTTAAATGCCTGATCTGACTTTTTTTAATTAAAATATATTTTTTTAAATTTTTATTTATTTGTGTGTGTGTGTGTGTGTGTGTGTGTGTGTGTGTGTGTCCAGCTCAGCCCACCAGGGGGCGAGGCTGGCTGGCATGTGGTGCTGGTGGATTGAACCGCAGTCCCTGTGCTTTGCTAACCTTGTTCTAAGTAGGTGCCTTAGACCACCGAGCCATCTCACCAGCCCCTGATTTCACTTTTATACCCAAAATAAAAACAGCAATTTGTATTCTGACAGGTAATTATACACACGTTCCCAGAAGATATTAGCAACTTCCAACATGATCCTTAGGGATAATTCAAAGTGCTGAACCATGCTTCAGAAAAACATTTCTAGCAGTCTGTGCAGGATTCATTCCTGCTCCATCCTTGGTAATAATTGCACCCATTGCCATAGGAGTTTTAGATTCTTCTTCTGCCAACTTCTGTGAAAGGTGTACTTTCAGGAGCACTCAGTACTATGTATGGCAGCCACGGATCTGACACCAGCATGATTTAAAGGAAAGCTTCGACTGGTCCTGGACACACGCACCACCCCAACTCCACCAACCTGCCACTGCCTGGGCAAAGGAGGAAGTGCCATCATAATATTACAGAGGTCTAAGTTATTCAGAAATACTATAGGCAGTCAGGTAGGGCTGGATCCTCGAGAGGCCAGTGCAGAAGACAACTACTGTGCATGCACTAAAGGTCAGGCCTTAGGACAGAGCATGACTATACCCATACACGTCCCCTAGGAGGAAAGGAAGGCACTGGTATTCTAAATAGGTATAATAATCAGTAAGTATCTAAATACTATACAACTACAATACAACTATACCTGTTGTAACCTTACTGGTTCATCATAGTCTTGTTTCACCCGACGCCCAGCCTGTGATTTTCCATTTGATCAATATTACCTAAGCAACTATACTTGTAATCATATTGATTTATTACAGTTCTGTTCCACCTCGAACCCACCACACCTTGTGGCTTTACTCAATTAAACACCCTTGAGAAGCAAGTTTGGCAGGCAATGCACTTTCTGGGCCCCCTTTTGTCTCCCAGAAGCTTTCTTCCTCTCGATAACTACTTCCTACTTCCAACCTCTATTGTTCCTACAATTCACCCTTCAATTTTAGAGAACATAAACTTGGCATATCAGATATTTAGCAGGTTGCGTGTTGTATTTCATTGTATTATTTGAATTATTTGGAGGTACTATATCACATGCCTTATTACTAATTTCATGCTATGTTGGCATATGCAAAGTTTTTGGTATCATGACACTTTTGGACTTCTGACGCAGCCTACTTTTTTTTTTAGTACGAGGGATCAAACTTGGGACCTTGCACTTTAAGGCAGGTGCTTATGCCACTGAGCTACCTCCCCCAGCTGGACTTCTGAAAATTACTGGTCATTTGGTGTTATGCTGATCTTCCAAACATTAACACATTTCAATATGCAATTAAAATTATATTATTAATGTCCCCATGGGTCTCATTAGAAAAGTCTTTAAACTATGCTTTGAGAGAATTGTAAGAAGCCATAGAATTATAGAATCACAGAAGGAATGAACTCTTGCACTAGGTCCTAACAAACCAAACCAAAATTGAGCCACTTGTGCTAAATGGAGTCCACGTCACCACCCAAAAACTCTAATCTTTTCAGAAAGTAGAAAGGGAGAAAATAGACACAAGGAAGGCCCCTCCACTTCAAGAACAGTAACCTGATGTTCAGCAGTTTGTTTTTTATAGTCTCTGTTCTTGCTCAAGATACTAATAAAAATCAACTGTGCTACCATATTCAATGGAAGATCTTTTCTAAATTTTTAGAAGAGATACTACTTCAACTCATGAATCCTTAATAAAACCCAAATTGATCTTTAAATTTGTTGTAATTTTGTCATTTGTCCTTTTGCCAAGTGTCCTCCTAAGGGAATACAGCACTTTTTTTTTGTCACAAGTAGGTGTTCAACAAATGCAAGGGACTGCGAAAATCCTAATTTGCCCTTGGAAGCTCAGATTTTCTCACTGGCAACAAACACCGTCAGTCCTTTTTTCCTTAAAGTGACAGGTCCTCTGCTCAGTTAACAAAATGCCCACAAAACCCGACCTCTGAACAACCCTAGTTTGTCTTGCTGAACATTCTGATGGGGAAGCAATCTCCCATCAGCCCACTGGCATAAATAACAGTTGCCTTCCCAACTCCTCCGTGCAAAGCTCTTCATTCCAGTCTAATCGTTTCCTGCAACATGTCTTGATGTGTTGACCTGGAAAACACTGTGCTGATCACTTGTTCCCTGGCAGAGCCCTGCTGGCTGCAGCAGGGACTTGCCTCCAACCTGCAGGTGAGGGGCACGCCCTCTGACTGCTTCCAGAGTCTCCTCTGTAACTCTGGATTGGGAGCCTCTGCCGGACAGCAGAGACCTTGCTGCACCAATAGAGAGAGACTGGTTTGGGCCCTCAGACAAGGCAGGACTGCCCTGGGATGTCCCTCAGTAGGCTTGGCAGTTTATGTCTCCTGCACGAGATGAAGGAGAAAGTGATCTTTCTTCACCTGTGTCAGCCTGTGCTAGCCAGAAAAACTAGCTTTTGCTCAGCTAGATTTTGCCCATGGGATTGGGGGCTGGAATGTTCAAAACTCTGTGTGCTTGTGCATGAGCATGAGGGCTGCTTGTGAAAGGGTGACATAAGCAACAGGTCATTCCATCTGTGCACCACGGGAAAGTACCCCTTGGGGCTCGGAGCTATGCAGCTTGATTGGGCCAGATCTTTACGGTACTGCAGTCTCATCTAATTGGCATTAAAAAGCCAATAACCTCTGCAATGGGGGTGTGACCTGGTGCAGGGTTTATACATCCTGCCTGCTGAGACAGAGTCTTGTCTGCAATGAGGGTAGCAGCCAGAACCGGCAAGCACCTGGTCTCTCCTTCATGAGGAGCATCCATCCTTAAGTCTGAAGCAACACTGTTCAAGGGCTCACAACACGTGCTACAGGGAGATGGTATGGGTGCAAGTCAGAGTGAAGTTACCCCCTTGAATGTACTCTGAAGAATTTCAAAAGATTTTCAGACAATGAAAATGAAGCCCCAAGAGCTAGCTGCCTACACTCCTCTATGAAATTGAACGGCCGTGTCCATGCCCTAATTGGCCACCAGGGGGAACTCTAAACTTAGAAATTGTTCACCAGATTTGAGACAAACTAACATTCTAAACCAAATGATCAACCTCATCAATTTCCTTATACTGATTACTGGCTTGGACTGTATGGGAGCCTTCCAACTTGACTCTGTGCCTGTCCTGTCAAGAGAAAGGAACTCTCCTGGTGGTCAAAGACCATCAACCAGGTCACAAGTCTCCTGTACAGGTTACCCCAAAGATGAAAAATTTATCCCATCCTGGCTAAAGACCCTGATAAGGACTTTCCACCCCCACATGAGTGACTACCAGCCAGAGCTGCCACCACCACCACTCCAGAGGCACCACCCAGCCCCTCACCAGCTGTTCTCCTGGACTGCTCCAGCTCAGCCACCTGCATCACCCCTGGCATGGCCTGGTCCTCAGAGTCCCCCAAGACAAGCCCTGTCTGCTGCTGGCTCCACTGAATGCATCTCCAGATGCCTCCCTGAGGATATTCTGGTAGTTAAAGGGGGCCAAGTAAACAACCTGCTCTATACTACCAACCTTTCAGTTTCACTGACCTCCTAAACTGGAAACATCATACTCCCTCCTACTCGGAAAAGCCCAAGCCATCACTGTTCTCCTGACCTCGATCTTTGGACACATCAGCCCACCTGAAAAGATAGCCAACAAACTCTCCTGACCCTTCTCAGCAATGAAGAACATACCCACATTTTTGAGGGTGAACAAGTCTGGCTAGAGTCTAGAGTTCCAGACATCATTGCTGACTCCGGCACTCGGGTGAACACCATCTTCCCTCCCACCGGTCCAGACTGGGGCTTCAGTACTGGAGAAGGCTGTAATGCTCTGAGGTTTGTCATGAGGCTCTTCTGGCAGGAATAAAGGAGGAAAAAGAGAAACCCAATAACATGTCCAAGATTACTGAAATCATCCAAGAACCTAATAAAAATCCTGCTAAATTTTATGAGAATGTGAAGAATACTGGACTTATTCCTCATTTGACTCTGAGGCCCCAGAGAACCAGCAGGTGATAAATTCAGAATTTATGACACACTGTGCCTTTGACATCCGCAGAAAGATTCAAAAGATTGACAGGTTTGCCAGTATTAATGCCTCCCAGCTGCTTCAGATATCCCAGAAAGTTTTTATAAAACAAGACAGAGAGAGAGAAAAAAAAAAGAATGTAAATGTTAGGCAGACCACAGGGCCCACTTTTTGTCAGTGATTGTGGGAAAACTGGTCCCAGAAAACCTCCAGATGAATCAACACCACTATCAGGGCAAATAGAGCAACAAGGTCTCGCAGGGTCTTCAAGTCAAAGCAGGAGGTCTCGGCCTGGTCCCCAGAGTCCCCTGAGTCAAGCCCTGTCTGCTGCCAGCTCCCCTGGGCACATCTCCAGATGTCTCCATGAGGTGGTTAAAGGGGACCCTATGCCATGGCTCAAACCGGTGTGCACTAGAAAGACAAATGCCCCCTCTGCCTAAAAGATTAGTAAGTTTTAAAAAATCAAGCGTGCCATAGCCTGACCCCTTGCTCTCACTTTTCGATGATGATAAATTGGACATGCAGGCTCCATAAGTCACTGCTAAAATGGGGAGGGGTTGTGTGAACCAATGACTTCTATGGTAGACACGGCACTGCTGAACATTGTTGTAACTCAGCCTGTTGCTCCTCTGACTCCTGGAACTTTCAAGTAATCAGTGCCGCTGGGACCCCACTGAGAAAAAAGTTCTGCCACAGCAGAGCCTATGAGATTGGTAGATACATTTTCAAATGTGAGTTCCTATACATGCTTGAATGTCCTATTCTTGTCAACCTCCTCTTAAAGCTGGGGGTAACTCTTTTGCCCCAAGCCAGCCGGCATCTCTCACACTTAAGCCCACTGCCTGAAACTTGATATTGACTCTGACTGTGCCCCAAGCAGAAGAATGGCAATTACATCAATCAGAAATATCCCAACAGAGTAACCCTGAGATTTTTTTTTTTTTAAAAGCATGTTTCCAGGTGGATGGGCAGAAGATTCATCACCAGGGCTAGCCACCACCCATGCCCCTTTGGTAACTGAACTCAAACCATGTGCTACTCTCACTGCTGTCAGACAATATCCAAGGTCATGGAAGGCCCACCTTGGGATCTGCCCCCACATCTCCAAGCTGAAGCAAGCTGGAATCCTGATAGATTGTCATCCACCCTGGAATATGCCCCTTCTCCCAGTAAAAAA